CTGTTGCTGCTGCTGCTGTTGTTGCTGTTGTTGCTGCTGTTGCTGCTGCTGCTGTTGTTCCTGCTGCTTCTGTTGTTCCTGCTGCTTCTGTTGTTGCTGCTGCTGCTGCTGTTGTTGTTGTTGTTGTTGCTGTTGTTGCTGTTGCTGTTGCTGTTGCTGCTGCTGACTGCGTAAAACCCAGGTGAGGGAAATCTTCGGTCTGAGAAGGCCAATACTACTAGGCCGCTGTCCCATGCTGGGGCTAGACGGGGCTGAGGAGCTTCCGGTGCTCGCGGGCGAAGCTGCGCGCGATGCTGGCCGCGAGGATACTACCTGCTCCGGGCAGTCCGCCACCAGGTCCACCGCCTGCATCGCGCGCCCATTTTCCTGTAGGCCAATCAACAATTTACTTGCATTTTCCCTGATTATTGACAATACTGGCTCGAACTGTAATGTTCGAGCGATTAAGGACATTGAATAATTGGAGAGTACACCTACGATCGGCTGTAACGGCCTTTCTTTTGCCCACTATTGAGATTCGGTAATGGACAGTTAGTTGGTCAACGAGCTTCTTCGTATGTAAATTTTGAATTTTAAATCGTGAATGGATAAAACGATACACGGGTACGTCCATCCCTATCTTTCTCTCCCGTCATTTTCAAATTCATGCACATGCAACACCTACGGATTTCTTAAACTGCAAATTGATAAAAATTATGATCGCGCAGTGGAGGTAACCGCGATGATGGTGCCTCGGTATTATAATAGAATTGGGAATCATTACTTATCAATTATTCACAATTATATTCTAAATAAAGCAAATGCGATATAACCGGACCCGCTACTTTTAACGTGTCTTTTTGAAAAATACATTTCGAAAAAATAACGATCATTCGTAAATATTTCATTTTAAACGAACGAATTTACAGAAACGGTAAATCGAATATATTCCCGTTGGCGATATAAAAAAAAAACTTATATTCCTTTGTACGTCTGGCAAAATCGCATTAATTGCTAAATTCATTATTGTAAAAGTGTTTCAAAGCGACTTTAACATTTATTACAAGATTTTTATTGGCTACATTTTTATCTCCGCGTAATTGGGAGCGTGCCAAAATGAAATATATTCGCCATCTTTCGTTCACAACAAGGTAATTTATGTGTCTTCGTTATGTAGTAATATTCGATATTCGCGACTGTACGAAATCTCCGAAAGACAATACGTGGACAGAATATGTCGATTTGTATGCATAAAGACTACTCGATTCATATATGTGCAATTTTCAATTTACCAAAACACTTATTCCGTTTGTAATTTATGTCGGATAAGAGTTTAAAAACAAAACAAAAAAAACAAAAAATAAAGATTTTTTTTTAAGACATTTCTCAATTGATTACTATTGGCCCTGTACTACCTAAATATACTGTTTTTTTTTTGTTTTTATTTTTATTTATTTTTTTTTTTATTTAATAATTGACGCGACATCAACACATAGAGTAGACACGAGTAAATTAAACAGTAACGGCAAACCTCAACAATATAATTTGTTTGTCCCTTCGAAATACTAAAATGTCCTCCCTACGTTTGCTCATCATTGAAATTTTGAAGTATAATTTTGAGAAATAAAGACAGCGGCAAAAAAAATTGATTATAATCGATCCGGATCACGTAGCAGGTAAGCGAATGTAGAGGATGTTATAAAGCTCAGGTTACTGACAAAAAAAGCTGCCAAATGGATAATCGAAAATAAGAAATATCTTTGCACATTTAGTTGGATTAACGGCACGTGTTACTCTCAATTTGACATTAAACAATTGGACAATTTATTAATTTTCACAAAATAGAAGCAAAATCGCAAGCAGAATAAATTTAATTTTCTTTACAATACACGTTTGTAGAAGATTTATAAATTTGAGAAAGTATCGTTCTGTACCGGTTTTATTCTTTTAATTAAGCAATTATAATGAATTCTCTAACAATAATTTAATATTTTCATTTTTAATGTATTTATATACATATATATATATATATACATATATATATATATATATATATATAAATATATATACAGATTAAATGTATTTTAATTTTCATTTTTATTTTCAAGAGGTATAAAGACGAAGGAAATGTCTCTAAGCGATTCACATATTTCTAATTACCTATAATTATTTCATTTTTATATTCTCGTATAAAGCATTTTCTTAATAAGAGATACTTGTGTAAATCAACAATTATTCAGACCTATTTACAATTATTCGATAAATTAATTAAAAAGCGTAAAAAACAAATTTTTAAGTATTTTAGCAGTAGCAATTTATATGCGTATGAACATGTGCGTAAAAATGCAATATGAAATAAAGGCTAAATTCGTAAAAGAAGTTTAATTAATTTAGCGCTTACAATCTCTGTTGATTAATAAATTAAAAAATATCAAATAAAGACGGATTAGGTATGAGAAAATGCGTCCATGATCGTAAATTTTATTATTTCAATCTTATGAATTTCAAACTCAGCGCGCCACGTAGTTTGGATTGATTTAAAATCAGTTGCATAAGCTATTAAATGCTTCGGTTATGTAAATATAAAAATTGAATAAAAACGTGCGCGATATAATAAAATTTAATATCGATGGCATGTTCGAACGTCCAAATGATCCAACAGTTTCTGACGCCTAAATCATTATCATTGAAATAGCGCAAATCGCTAAGGATAAATTTAATTAGTTCGCCAAGTTTTAAAGTCCCTCCTGGCGTCCAGATTATTAAATAGGAGGCGAGCAATCGAAGGTCGAGCGAAGCAAAGGGAAAGCAGCCAAGGAACTTTATAATGAAAGTCAGGGCGACTTTCGGCATAAATAATCGATAAGATTGAGCGTAATAGCGCGGATCGATCAAATTTATAAGGGAATACGCGTTCGAGAGTTCGCACGTAAAATGTCGGATTATTAAGCGCTCATGAAATTCATGCATCGGCGAGTTGAGGCCCGGACGCGCACGTGCCAATGGGTAGGGGAAGTGCCTTTGGCGGTGCGCGTTGAAATACAGCGGGGGATTGCCGGCAGGTAGACGAGGAGGAAGATACGCCCTCGTCAAACGTGAAGGCCCACTTGGATTTCGCTCAACGGTCCAAATCTCATTCCGCGCGCATCGCTGACCACCGGCGCCACTCTTTTATTTCCCTTTGACACCGGACCTTCCGAGGCCGGTAGAGACAGAGACAGAGAGAGAGAGAGAGAGAGAGAGAGAGAGAGAGAGAGAGAGAGAGAGAGTCAGAGAAAGTGACTGAGAAAGTGACTGAGAAAGTGACTGAGAAAGTGACTGAGAGCGCGAGTGTGAGCGCGAGGTGGCGCGGTTATGGGGGGGGGGGGGGGCA